GGGGGCTGCAAGAGCTGGTGGGAGATGGAGCCAAGTGGGGCAGTAATCCGGGGGACTGCTGTTGATTCCCTCAACTTCTTGTGGTTAAGATAGCCAGTAAAAACTTGAGCTGTTTCAAGCACTGGCCAAGAAGTGAGAAGCTTTGCATCTCATTAATATTTCCTATGCCTCCCTAGGGCATGCGTACACTGTGGTAGCATCATGCCTCTGAGATTTGTTCATTAGTCATGCCTCAAACATCTGCTTCTGCTTATACTCTCCAAACCTGGAAATAGGCCAGTGAAGGTGTTCCAAGGTAGGTCTCTTTGGTTACTCTTGAGATTTCAGTCCTTGATGTGCCTTGATATGAAGCATCTTCACTGGTGTAGTTATGGGTTGAGGTGTGTGTCTAGCAGCAGGTGGGTGGCGCATGCTCAGGCTCATGCTGGTTGGAGCACACTGCCCCACAGTGTTTGACATGCTTTTAGTGTCTTCCCCACACAGCCATTTATTAAGCAACCGTAGAGTCATGGTAATATGCACTGTGTAAACTTATGTTACAGGAATAGGCTGATATCTTAGCAGGCATTTGAAAACTTTTTTGCAAGAATGATTTTTAAAAAAAACCAAGCAGAATAGAACCAGCAGGCTATAAAATGGCATTTTTATTTGGGGTGAAATCCAGTCTTGCCTCATGAGCACCTGGGAAATGAGGAGGGTCTTTAGGCAAAATGAAAAATCCATTATTATTCATACTGTTCATTTCAGATGAGATAATTTGGGATTTTGATACAATAATAAACTGCTGGTATTTAGTTCTGTATTATTTTTTGCTTCCAGCTTCTCGTTTCCAATTGCTGATGTCAGGATGAGAATTATGAAATCAAAGGCCAGGTTTGGACTAGGGCTTGTGTGCCTGGGTATGCAGAAACCTCCCTTTCTTGTGTAAGACATGCATAAAATTACAAATGTTTTCTAGGCTACCGATAGGTACCTTACTCACCACTTTTTTGATATACCATGAATGATAAAAATGTTTGTGCTGCAGGCTTCTCTATTCAAATAAATATTTGACCTGATATAGAACACCTGTACGTCCCTAATTTTTGTTGTGCGAGCTTTGTAGTCACAAGTTGGGGAACTGTTATGGAGAAAGAGAACTCATTAAAATTCATTCTCTGCCTCCGAAGCTGATAGCCAGAAGCAAAGCAGCTCCATGGAAGGGGACGGGGCGGGGAAGGGAATAAGATCCCTGGTAAGCAGGAATTTTAAGTGGCTGACAAGTAGAAATGGGTGGTCTTTTTAGAAGGTGGGAAGTAGGCTAGTAAGCACTACATCTTGCAAGGGTTCTGTAGCCTTTTTCTTATATTACTTCAAACTTTTTTTCTTTTTCAATGTAAGTCTTTAATTGTTAATATCTTTTATGACTAAGATGATGGGTCTATTTGGTTTGGTTAAAAGCACATACAAATGCATGAACTTCTGTATCATTCAAACCCAAAGGAACTCTGTGAGCAGAATTGGTGGGATATGCCACAGCCTCAAGATCCTGACTGTGGTAATAAAATCAGACAATTGGCAACAATGCAGATATTCTGTAACTGCGTCCAAGTCAGAAACAGAAATTTGCTGCTGCAGCTCTAGGGAAAAGGTGGCCTGAGTATCTCATATCTCTTTATCCTTTTAAATTATTTTGGATGTGTTAACTCTATATTGGGTACACCTACAAGTACAATTAATGTGAAGCAATACATTCTGGTACATACCACACTGGAGTTCATTGCTCTCAGGTGCCATGTTTACAAGTGTGCCCAGGACCACAGCATGTTGAGTCAGGTTGGTGCAGTCCTGGCTGGCAGGGGGCCCAGGGGGTCACACTGCGAGCCTGGGGCTGCTCTGACCTGGCTCAACGTGCTGGGGACAGGCTGTCTGGGGCTTGAAGGTGCTTCAGTGCAGAAATAGCTGGCATCCTTGTGCCCCAGCCAGTGCTCTCAGCATCTACGCGTGTTTTGCTGCTCAGTAAATAATGCCACCACAGGATAGTACCTGCATTTCCAAGTACTAACCTATGGCAGCATTTATTAGTTTATTGTGACCCAATCGGGCCACATGTGTAGATGCACAGACTTTACTATGGAGCTAATTAGGCAGCTCTGCAGTAAACATCTTGCGTAGATGTGCCCATTGTGTCTTTAATAGCAAGAAAAAAATTCTTATTTGAGGTTAATAGACTTTTAACAACTCACAAGGGTCTTTGTGTTAATTTGATCACAGATCTGATTGTTTAGATCAATATGAGTTAGAGATTATTCATCAGTAAAATATCTTATTTCTCAAACAGAACTTAAAAACTCAAGTCCAATATATTCAGCCTTTTTCCAAAAAAGAACCCGCCCAGTTACTTTTTCTTCTTCTTTGGCACTGTTGGCTCCATAAGTAGTTTTTATTGGACATCCTAAAATCTAGGTCTGATCTTCCATTCACTTGCATGTGAAGTCAGTGGGACTGCTCAGGTAAGCACACGTTAAATGCTTATAACAATGCTTCTCAAGGAATTACTCATTAAACTAATTTATGATATCTATCTCTCATTTGATAGGTCAGAGCTTAGAAACCTAGGGAAAAATTATATTCTAGGCTTCAAATTCTTACATAAATAATAAATTTCCTTTTCACAGTATTTTCCATTAACCCTCAAATAAGACTTTTAAAGCACTAGATGGCTGTAGCATAACTTGGGTTGGGCAAGAGGGGCACCTGTCCTGGGTGCCAAGTTAGGAGGGCCACCAAATTTGCCCCCCTTTCCCTGCAGAGTCTGTGTCCCAAGCAGCCTGGAACTCCAAAACAGCCCTGGCAGTTGCTGTCGCTGCTGTTTCTGCTTTGAGAGCAACAGCCAGATGGGAAGAGCATGGGGCAGAGGCAGTGGCAGCTCAGCTGGGAACTGTTCATGAGTTTCTGGAATTTCCTGCACCTGTGCCTTCCCTCTTGGCACTGTGCACCCTCCTCACCCCGCTCTCCTGCAAGGTTTGCATTGGGCACCAACTCTGGCTGTTATGCCTCTGCTAGAGGGATATTTTCAATAAAATGACTAATATCAAATACAGTATGTGGCAATGTAAACATTTATTATAAATACAAAATATTCTATCTTGGACATTGTGGCACTTACAGAAACTAGAAGCTCTGAACTAAAATGCAGTTGTATTTTTCCTTACAACAGCTGATAGGGTAGATTATCAGCACTGTCTTCACCTTGTGCCTCCTGTTAATGTTAATTGGAGTCATACAGTTGTATCTGTGTTCATTAAAGTGAAAATGAGTTGCTTTGTCTTGGTCTTTCCAGTGTAAAATGTTCTGGCCAGTGACATGTTTCCAATTAAAAAATAAATTAAATTGCCTCAAATGAGAGTAAAAATAATGTAAATAAATAGTACAGTCAGGCTATTAGTTTCAGTGTTTATTTTAAATGTCATTGGGCTGTTGAGCTGGTTCAGTGCTGGAAAATACCGGGGATTAGTAGGATATCATGAAACAGGGCCAATTATGCCACATCTGCCAACTGAGAGCTTCTTGCATTTTTCTGCAAAGCATCTGTTGCTGGTAATTGTCAGAACCAGAATACTGGGGTCAGTGCATCTTGGGCATGCATATACTATGACTTTGTTTTACTTTGAACATTTTGGCTGCTGACAGATGTGGGGAAAAATAAAATATGGCGCTTTACTTCCAGCTCGGCATGCCCCTGCACTGAGCACAGCACATACCCAGAAGAGGAACCGCATCAGTTTGACCTGGCTCACCCAGCATCTGTATAGATTGCGCACTTCAGTGGGGCTTTTTGGCGCTTTTATCTAATAGCTGGTTGAATCAAAAGCCCTGTTGAAGCGCGAGATCTCTACTGATGTTGGGCAAGCCAGGTCAAACTGATGTGGTTCCTTTTCTGATAATGTGCTGGGGCTTTTTTTTTTTTTTCTTCCATGTCTGTCAGAGGCCTATTAATATTTGCAAATACACAATGCATTGAAGCTGCTCTGAATGAACTGTTCATTTAAATGCAGTACATACTCAGCCACTCCCAGATTAAACAACCTAGTAGTTTGTCTGTTCCTCTTAGTTTTGGTATATTTTAATAGGACCATATACTTAACTTCAGTCTTTACTCCTTATTGCTTAATTAAATTACTACTTTTGCAACGTCTGCTTATGACTGTTGATAGTAGAATATACTGTACTATATTCAAAGCCGACCCAAGCAGGGTGCGGGTCCAGGACAAATGAGCCCATGCGGGGTCCCACCCCCCTCTGATCCCACATGCCCCGGACCTGAAGAAGCTGCCGCCATCATTGGCAAAGGTGTCGGCAGGGGGGAAGCTGCATGCGAAGTCAGCAGAGTGGGGTCACCATTGGCTGCTCCGCCCAGCTCTCCCACATACTGGTTGGCACTGGAAGAATGTGGTATTGTAGGATTGAGGCACTTTAGCAGAGCCAAGTGGAGAAGCTTTCTGGTGTAAGTAAATACTATTAGTAATAAAAAAAATATTATTTATCATTTATAAGGTGTAATCCAGTGGGAATCCAGTACAAACACACGAGAATAATTTTAGCTGCTCCTGGAAAGCTGCTTTCTGGGGCAGAGCGTAGTCATACTCGGCACATGACAATACACAGGAGCCCTTTTAGAATGGGAAGTGAAGAGCAACATATTCAGCTGCAACTTAAAGAGGACATTTTTACAGGTGGAATATAAATTTAATGTAGAATTTTAACATTATGCATGGGAGCATGCTTTCTCTTCTGGACAATAGGGATAGAGATATGCGTTTGCTACCAGTAATATCTGCACTTTTAACATTTTATGTGAATTTTTGAGGTTTTGTGATATTTCTGTAAAATCAGTGGGAAAATAGATTTAGTGCATTTTAGCATGCCTTTATGTGCCAAGCATTATAGAAGTTGAGGGGGCAGAATACCAGCTAGTGCAGACTCATCTTTCTGGCTTAGGAATTATTTGGGATTTCTATTTCAGTTTATAAAAATGTCTCCCTTCTAAAACGATATTGCATGAGCTTAAACATTGTAGGATGCTCTGTGATATTTTCTTATGTATTTTAGTTTATAAAATGTGTCTATCTAATTATGTCATGCTTCCTTTAATTATTTGATATGCTGTATGAGAATGTGTGTAGTTGTCTCCCAAATCCCAACTTTCAGAAGCACCTGTGACATGAATGATGCAAAAATTTTTGCTTAAAGTTACCTCTTTATTTGTTCTTTTATTCTGAAGTTCTCTACGTACTGGTTTAGTGTTTAATTAAAAAAATAACACTATTGTAGCAACACTTTGAAGGAAAAATGTTTGGGAATCCTGCAGTGTTATTTTCCAAGTTGAAATAGCATTAAGAATGAATTTGGTCTGCAGGAATTGTGTAACAGTGCTAGAATAGCCATTATACTATAGTTAAGAATGAGTTTACATTTTTATTGGGAACTTTAATCTTGGAGAGTGATTCCAAAAAAAATCTTTGTATTTCTGGGTGCACAGTACATCCTTATTGCTCAATTCAAACAAGCTTTGGGAGTGTAAAGTTTTAATAATATCTTGTTTGTAATTGTATTTGGTGCACATTTATTAAACTAGAGACACACCTCCATACTTATGTCAAAATTGTTTGTTTTCCAGGGATTCGGAGGTTGTAAAAATACTGAAATATTTGTAGTCTCTGGAGTCTACTGAAATCAGTGGCCAAAAAAAAGCAGTATCTGTATGCCAGTCAGTATTTTTTTAAATTACTATTGTTTCTAGGAATAATATTGATACAGTCAAAATAAAGTGGCACACAAATTAACCTCTTTTGTAGATAGATCTAGTAAGGGGTTCTTCTGGAAGTCTTGACTGCTGTCTTTGCTAGTCCTTTCTGTCTGGAATGGTGGGAGCTATGCATGAT